TTGGCTCGCGTGGGTGTCCTCTTAGATCACATCGAAAAGCCCTCCAGCTGCTTTAGTTGATTCGGAATCGCCTCCCTTGATCTGTAATCTCCTTGTGTTTCTGTATAACACTTCTATAGTTAATTTATAAGATAAGTGGGTCGAAGAGACCCACCCTTGTCTTAGGGCAATGCACATTCATATGGCTAAGAATGTGAGAGGTTAGGATGTTGGAGTGGAAGTTTCGAGCAAAGGTCAAAAAGAGAAGAAAACTTGATGAAGGGACGAGACTAGCTTGATAGCCAGACAGTGACCGACTCGGAGTGGTAGAAAGATGGGCATGGTACTCAAGACCAACACAGCGGCAAGACTACTCAAAATCGAGGCCGATATGGCGGTGCTAGGCTAAGTCAACCCTCAATCAAGTAAAAAGAGGAGAGAATGAAGAGAAGGCACGAGATGACAGAGAGATCGGGTCCTGACTGCGCTAGGCATCACCACCCACGACCATGGAGTAACAATGTCACGGCCCTTGGACGGCGCTAGACACTATTGATCATGCTATGAGGGGAAGTAGGGAACTATGAACGACGCTAGGCATTTTCATTGGCAACACAAGAAGGCAGCGCACTTTTGCTCGGGCGGCGATAGCCTCTCGTGAAGCACGCGACAATAGCCATTTGCAAAATGCACGACGATAGTTCTCATGAGGGCTACGACGGTAGGCGTGGGACACAGGGGGGGCGACGATGAGCACTGAACGCACAAAGGAGACGAGCGGATGGCGATAGGCACCGCTCGAAGGAAGAAAGTCCACGGGCAGCAATAGACATTGTCGAGACCTCTCGTAGGCGGTGATAGGTGCACGACGGGGGAAGACCCCTGCGAGCGGCAATGAATTTTTCCATTTGCGCTCTTCACTCAGGCGTTGAGAACGCGTCTGCAGACGGTGATGAGCAACGCTGTCTGCAAGCCTCGCTGAGAGGCAGAGATGAACGAACAGAAGGAGAAGGAGGCTCATGCATGGCACTACCATGGCCTTGCGCGACCGGTGAGACCACAGGAGAGGCATGCACGGTACTGCCAGGGCCGTGCATGACCTCTGAGGGGAGCTCAGATGGAAAAGAGGAAGAAGAAGGAGAAGAAGAGATAGAAGAAGAAAAGAAAAAGAAGAGAGAGAAGGTTTACCTTAAGCCTAAGGGTACAGGTCCAAAAGTTTATCTCATGTTATTCTCTCTCTCTCTCTCTCCAGACATGACCCAATAATGAGAAGAAAGAGACGAACAAACACAACTCGATTCTATGCCCAAACCAAGATTTTACAACATTGAAATTTTGGCCAGAATCTGGAATTTCGGCGATGGAATTTGTAGTCTCTTTGTCATCTTTGTGTGCAGAATCCGACCGTTCATCATGCACGGGGTTCGGATCAGAGATAACTTGAGACCTTACGTATACGATGGAATTGATCTCACGTCGATCGAGATAGCGAGCGGCGTGATTTAGCTGCTCAAGCAAGGCACGACGCTGTTGATTTTCTTGCATTTTCTTTACTAATCAGCACCTTCTCTCTAGCTTTTCTTCTCGCTCGGGCGTCATCATGCGGTGTGCCATATATCAATATGCTCGTCTTGATGAGACGAATACTCTCACAAAATTTGGGCTTGATTCGACCTCAGACGAGTGAGAAGTAAGCATCGGAAGTCCCTAGTCGTGACTGTCCCTTCAATGGTGTGGAGTTGCAGGGTGGCCGCACAGGAATAGCATGCGGTTCCTCCTGATTCACTCTTTCGCCTCTAAAATTTTTCTGGAGTGTCTGTTTAAGCTTAAATTTGACTCCTGGGGATTTTCAACCATGTCGAATCTAATGGCGGTGGTCCCAAATGTAGCTCTAGTTATAGGATCCATTTCAGGGTGCTAGACGCTGATTTTGTCGGAATTGTTTCTCAGTCTGCACTACATGTCGGAATGCCACAAAACTTGGCAGGAGTCTTTTGAGAGTTCTCATGAAGATCTGGAATAGTTCTGGGGCTATTATGAGATTGTTGGAATTTCCACTGTTTGCTAGGCTTTTATTAAGCGGGTGCCCCATGATGATGAAAAATATCTTCCAACAACATGCCCCACCGAATGTTGTGCTTCGAGAGAATCGACTGTTGAAGTCCTCACCCTCGAGGGACTATCTGCGATTCTAAAGCGTGAGGCCTTTGTTGGGACCTCGGACAAAATTAGGCCTATCTAAAGGCCAACTGCTATGAACCTTTGGTCGGCATTATTCGCTGCTACATCAGGTTTTCTTTTGATATTCAGGGTATCTCTGTAGGTCCCATCTAGCGGGGTCCAGTCGGGGGCTTCTGACCTGCCCGAAAGTCTGGGCCATTGTTGGCTAGGGGATTTTTACGAGGAATACCCTGAAGTCTCTGGCAGGTGAGACCCTGACTTCATCACTTTCTTCTTCGTGATGGTCTTTAGTGTTTCAGAGGGACCTTTTGGTCATCGTCCTCATCCTCAAGGACTCTTGTTATTGTTGATGTTGAAATGTAGGAGATCTTATGCGGCTCTCACTCCCTGATGAGCCAATTTGTTTTGTGACTGGATGCTGGTATTTGAAGATTTTAAGTAGACCTCATTAGCCAGGCTTGTGATTGTTTGGTAATTGAGTATCAGCTGAGGCGGCGGTAGTGTGTCAACCTATTTTGTCAGTCTAAGTGCCCTTTCGCGGGTTTTCACTTGAACATGGGAAGTGGTACCGTAAAGACGATTTTCACCAACTTCTATTATTTTTGGACTCTTTTACTCATGACCTCATGGTCATGTCCAACATTTTCATCAGTTTTTACTCACGATGACCTTTTGAGGTTTTCACCATGCCTGCGTTTTGTTTTCATGAAATTCTTTTAATCATGGTTTCGTGACCATGCCCATCCATCATTTTTACTCATGGAGTTCCCTTGCATAAGTGTACACCATGCCCGTTTTTTTTCTGTGAAGGCGTGTTTAGGGTCATGCCTTCGGGACCTGTGCGAAGCCTTTTAACGTCATGTGGTTAGAACATGCACTATAGTTTTGAGTCATACAAC